GCGGAACCAGGTCCGACCTGAAACGGATAGGGGCACCAGCGAATGTTGTCGCCCTCGGCGCTGGCTGGCCCTGGCCGATGCCGGTGAATCAAGCCGAATGGAACCGAATTTGTATAGTGAATATATATATATACATATATATATACATATACAGAAGAAGAACCACGCGCGCGCTTCGCGCGCTTAAGTTCGAGTCGGGGCACCACGGCGCCAAAGGATGCCACGGCGAGCAGTGCCATCGATAGCGGATCTCGTTCTAAAGGGTCCTGACGGCCGACCCTCCTGGAGTCCAGGAAGTGTCGTACTGTGTTGCCTCCTTCCTGGAGTCTCTTCATCCCAGTGTTTCATTACAGGAATGGTCCAAAGCTGCCTGGACTGAGCCAGGTGAATCGAACGGCCGCGAACCAGTGTCCCCCCTAAGACGAATCTCGCCAAACCAGAACGGTCGCGGTAGAGAACCGAAGCGAACCGAACCAAAATCGATTGTGGACCGAATGTGGCCGAATCAGACCGATACAAACCGAACCGGAGCGGTACATCCACCCCATGGAGTGGGGAACGAAACCCGAAGCCCAACAGAGGAGTGCTCCGACCCCCCCCCTGCTCGTCATCGTTGTCGGCCTCCTCCTCGCCCTTTGTCTTCGTGCTCGGCCTCGTCCTCGTTCGCCTTCGTCTCCTCCCTGGCCTTTTCCTCCTCGTCCTCCTCGTCGTCCTCCTCCTGCTCGTCCGCCCTTGATGGATTCTGGACCCTGGGTTTTGGACCCGTGGTTCCGGGGGCCCACGTTGACGCCTGTGGACCCATTTTCGGCCCGTGGAATCCTCCACGGTCACTGGACCCCTCAGCCCCAAGAGTGCGGCCCCCAAACACCACGTCCAGGAGCAGGAAAAGCAGGAGGAGGAGGAGCAGGAGGGGGAGGAGGAGGAGGAGGAGGAGGGGGAGGAGGAGGAGGAGGAGGAGGAGGAGGAGGAGGAGGAGGAGGAGGAGGAGGAGCAGGGGAGGAGGAGGAGCATCAAAGAAGCAGGTGCAGGAGTAGGAGCAGGAGGAGGAGCAAGAGCAGGAGGGGGAGAAGGAGGGGGAGGAGAGGGGGGGATGGGGGGAGGGCAGGGGAGAGGCGGAGCAGGAGAATGAGTAGCAGGAGGAGGAGCAAGAGGAACAGCAGCAACAGCGGCAACACCACCACCACCAGGAGGAGCAGCAGCAGCAGCAGCAGCAGCAACCGGAGGTGCAGGAGGATCAGGGGGAGGTGAGGGCGGAGCACGAGGAGGAGGAGGAGGAGGAGAAAAGAAGGAGGAGGAGGAGGAGGAGGAGGATGAAGAGGACGACGCGACGAGACGCAGAGATGAGGAGGAGGAGGAGGAGGAGGCAACCCCCACCCCCACCCCTCCCCGTCGAGCCCCATTCTCCTCCTCCATCTCCTCCTCCTCTCCTCCTCCTCCCCTCCTCAACCTCCCCCTCCTCCTCCCTCCTCCTCCTCCTCCTCCTCCTCCTCCTCCTCCTCCTCCTCCTCCTCCTCCTCCTCTTCCTCCTCCTCGTCCTCATCGTTCCCCTCCGCTTTGTCCTCGTCCTCCGTCCCCTCCCCGCCCTTTGAGCTCTGTGACAGGTCTTTGGCTCGGTCGGGGGGCGTCGAGACGCAATCAGCAGTGTCGAGACCGCCCCTGGCGACCGCAAAGGCTCCCAGGCCTCTCATGCGACCCCAAATTGGACGTATTGGGGTGTTCGGGGCTCCTCGTTGGCTGGTGCTGTCATGGGGCACGGTTGGAAGCCTGTGGAGCCGCAGCGGGGCAGTCTTGGGGACCTCCAAGACGAGCTTGCACCGTCGAGAAACAAAACAGGCTGGGTGGCCAGAAACCCTGGAGAAACTATTGGAAAAGCTAGGGTTTGAGCCTCTGGGGGCCCTTGTGGGGAGCCTCTAAGAAGCCTCTTTTGCTGGCGAGGTGGCCTGGAGAGCCGTCATGGGGCGATCGCTGGCGTCGTGCAGGCCTGGAAACGACTCTGGCGCTTCGCGGAGACTTCTTGGGGGCGCTGGTCCCCCCATGCGGAGCCGTCTTGGATCACGGGTGGGGGCCCCAGGGGCCCGAACCACATCATCGGTCTGGGCGTCCTCTTGGGCTGCCGTGCAGCGTGGGGATACAGAACATACTGGATGGGTGAAAACGTGGAATACCATCGGAAAGCAACAACGGATAAGGCCTCAGAGAGCCCTCCAGGGAGGCCTCTTGGAAGCATGCCGTGTCGACGAATTCGCTCGGGGGCTGTCTGCGATCGTCGCTGTCGCGCAAGCCTGGAATCGACTCTGGCGGCTCGTGGAGCCCACTTTGGGGCGCTGGTCCTCCCATGCGGAGGCGTCTTGAATCATGGTTGGGAGCCCCAGGGGCCCGAACCACACTGGTCTGGACGTCCTATTGGGCTGCCGTGTAGCGTGGGGATGCTGAACAAGCGGGGTGAGTGATCGGATGGGAAAACCTTTGGAAAAAAGGGCCTCAGAGAGCCCTCCGGGGAGTTGAAAGCATGACGTGTCGATGACGAAGTCGCTCGGGGGGCTGTCTTAGGGTGATCGTCGGCGTCGCAAGGATCTTGGAACGTCCTCGGCCGCTCTGCGACCCTACTGGGGCGCACCGATCCTCCCACGCGGAGTCATCTGGGGACAAGGTAAGGTTGGGAGCTCCTGGGGCCGAACCGGGACGGTCTGGGCTTCGTCCAGGGCTGCCGTGCAGAATGGGGATGCAGAACAGATTGCGCGGATAAAAAACGTGGAAAAACTACATGATGGGAAAACCACGAGTTTTAGCTTCGGGGAGCTCTCCTGGAGGACCTGTGGGAGACCTGGGGCACCAGGCGGGAGCATCCCCTGGAGTTCCCTGCGACCTCTTGGGGCTCTGTTGGCCCTGGGTCGCCGAAACCTTATAAAAAACACCGGGTTAATGCGCGCCGATCAAAGCATGCGGAACCATCTGGGGACAAGGTTGGGAGCCTCTGGGGCCGAACGGGGACGGTCTGGAAGTCCTCCGGGGCTGCCTTGCAGCGCGGGGATGCAGAACAGGCTGCGCGGAGGAAAAAACGTTGAAAATAGAATGGAAAACCAAATGTTTGAGCTTTGGGGAGCTCTCCTAGACCTGGTACACCAGGCGGGAGCAGCCCCTGCAGCTCCCTGCAACCTCGCGAGGCTCTTTTGGTTCCGGGTCGCCGAAACCCTATTGAAAAACAAAAAAACAAAAAGGCCCCGGGCCCCCCATGCGCCGCCGAGGTCCCTGGGCGGGAACCCCTGGCCACGTCCCCGGGATATATATATATATATATATATATATATATATATATATATATATATATATATATTTATACACACACACACACATCGGTGCCCAGGGCCCGCGAGTCGAATCACCTCGAACCGGATCGCAGTCGGCCCCGGACATGGCCAATGATGCCGGGAAGATGGCAAAACGGCAGAACACCGATGTGCCCACCGCGACGCGCTGGAGAAGAGGGAACGGCCCTCGGCCCGCTCGAAGGAAGAGCCGCCGCTGCCGCCATCGCCGTCGCCGTCCGCGTTGTCGCCGTTGGCGGTGCGTCGTCGTCGTCGTCGTCGTCGCTGCCAGCGTGTGTCATCACCGTCCTCACCGTCGCAGCCGCAGCCGAGCCCGGCGTCGTGGCAACACAGGCAGAAAAGGCAAAGTGGCAATGCTACGGGAAAGTCGTGTCGTGACACCTTCGTCGCTGGTTTCTGCTGCCGCGCGGACCCTGGAGTCTCGATCGACCGGCGGCTCTTCGCCCGCCAGATCGTTCTATACTTGCGCGCGAGAGGACACAAGACCCTTCCAGAGGCCACATCGCCACAGGAGTCTAAGAAGGCACGTGTCGCGAGGCACAGGACACAAGGTACCCTTGAGCTGGCAGGGACGACCTACTAATCGGGGCCGACTGTACTCCAGAATTCGTAATAAAAGGGAGGGGGTCTGGACCCTCCAAGACGAGCCATTTCAGACCCCCCCTGTGGGAGAACCCTCCAAAACATCGTCCCCAGACCCCCCCAGGCCCTCCAAGATAGCCTGGAAGAGACCCCCCCCGAAATGAGACCCCCCTCCCTTTATTACGAAATCTGGAGTATGTTTATGTCGATGTTCGTTCCCCCAGCTCAACCTCGAATGCCCGCGCTGTGGCCGTCGACGCGCCGACGCAGCAGGAAGCCACTCCGTGCCACAGCGCCTCCGATCGAACGACCGTCTGCTGCGGGCCTCGGCAGGCCAGGCGCGCGGGAGGCGCGGAGGGAGACGGGAGCAGAGGAACAAACCACTGCTGCTCCTCCTCCTCCTCCTCCTCCTCCTCCTCCTCCTCCTCCTCCTCCCCCCCTCCCCCCCCCCCCTCCTCCTCCTCTCCTCCCTCCTCCTCCTCCTCCTCCTCCTCCCCTCCTCCTCCTCCCCCCTCCCTCCTCCTCCTCCTCCTCCTCCTCCTCCCTCCTCCTCCTCCTCCCCCCTCCTCCTTCTCCCCCTCCTCCCCCCCTGCGCCTCCTCCCTCCTCCTCCCCTCCTCCTCCTCCTCCTCCTCCTCCTCCTCCCCTCCTCCCCCCCTTTTCTCCTCCTCCTCCTCCTCCTCCTACCTCCTCCTCCTCCTCCTCCTCCCTCCTCCTCCTCCTCCTCCCCCTCCGCCTCCTCCTCCTCCTCCTCCTCCTCCTCCAAAAGCAGAAACTGTCGGAGGCTCGCGCGGACTTCTTGGGTCGGCGCGGGAAGCCCCTCCCTGGCGCGCGGCGTGCGCCAGGGGCGGCGCCAAGGAAACCGTGCAGGGCGCCGACAGCTTATGCTTGCAGTGGGGGCGTTGACCTAAGGAACCCTAAATAGGGAACGAGGTCCCTTTTTCTCATGACTTAAGCTTCGATATCCCATGGGGAACCTCAGGAACACCCAAGGCGAACTGTGAAGCAATCGAGGAACATCGAGCCCCTCCCCAACGAAAAGGGCTCTCGGCGCCCCGACTGTATGCAGCTGTCTCTTCGAGAGAGGGCGGTCCGTGGGACGCTCGAAGGCGGCGGGGTCCATGTTGGCGGCGCCCAGGAAGCAGAGGACCTGGTCGCCTGCGTCCGAGGCTGCACGGCGAGCTGGAGGAAGGAGGGCGCGGCGGCACTGTGAGGGGGCACGGTGGGGTGGACCAGCCCAAGAGGGGAGCGCGATGGCGGGAGGACCAGCCCAAGAGGGGAGCACGCGCTGCAGGAAGAAAGGACGCGCTGGAGGAAGGAGGGGGCACGACAGGGGGGGCCAGCCCAAGAGGGGAAACATCGAGCTGGAATGGGCGATGCGTCGCCAACAAAGCGGGGATGGGCCCGCGACAGCGAATCCGCACTCTCCTGGGCGGGGGGGGGGGCTATCAGGCCCCGATCGGCGATGGCTGGGCGATTGGGTGTCGATGCATGCCCGCCTGAGCCGGAGCCACATACCGTTGCCGCTGACAGCAGGTGCGGCCCTGGACCTGGACCAGATTCGCCGCGGAGGGAGACGGAACTAGGGGGCAACAAGCCTACCTCGCTTTTGACCACCCTCGCTTCCAAGAGATACCAAACGATGCCAAACTACGGCCTGCACTGGTCAGGCCGCTTGACGAGGAGGCGCGTGGTATGACTTGGTTTTGCCTGGAAGCGAAAGCGGGGTTGGTAGTTCACGCTCTGAGGAACAGGTTTCCACAAGCCGCCGCGCCGTCTGTTCTCGACGCGCCCAAATGGACGGCGCCGACACCAGGGCAAATCCCCGGCAAACCCCTGTCGACACCACGCCCGAGGAGACGGAGCCAGCACCGCGTCAAACCCCGCAACAAGCTCACCGCGTCCCAGGCGGCGTGCGCCCTGGTGGCCGAGGCGCCCTCCCCAAGACGGAAGGCCGCGCGTCGGACCAAACGGCGCGGCGACATGTGTGCCCCCCTGATGTTGTGTTCGGCCGTGGGCTCCCTGCACCCATCGGCGGGCGCCGGCGGTTTCCGGAAATCTCCGGCGCGAAAAGAAAGAGTGGGAACGCTTGTTTGCACGCCGAGAGGTGGGTACGGACAAAAATGGTACGCCGCCCAGCAGCAGGTTTCGCCGAGTCGTTTGTTCCCGACGCGCCGAAGTGGACGACGCCCACACCACGGCGAGCCCATGGCAAGCCCTGCGCCCTGCGCCCGAGCAGACGACGCCGACCCCGCGGCAAACCCACGGCGAACCCACCGCGTCCGAGGCGGCGGCTGCCCCGGCGGCCGCGGGCCTCGCTCCCCAAAACGTACAGTCGGGGCGTTGACCTAAGGAACCCTAACTAAGGAGCGAGGCCCCTGTTTTCCATAAGTGAAACCTCGATCTCCGATCGAAGACATAAGGGAAACCTGAGGCAGGCTGTGAAACACTTGAGGAACGCTGAGCCCCTCCCCAACCAAAAGGGTTCCTTCTTCAGGGCCCCGACTGTATGGCCGAGGGTCGGAACACACGGCGACGCAACACATGTGGTCCAAACCCAGCAGCGGCCGCCCGACAAGCGCTCCGCGCAATCCGTCGCGACGCGAATCCTACGTGTTTTACGAAGGAACACGGCATCGAAATCTTGGAGAGAGCGTGATCCACCGCCGCTTTACTATGGAAAATTGCCAACCTTTTCCTCCGGAGCCCGGGGGTCGCCCCTCCCCCCTCCGAAAAATCCCCCCCCCCCCTGCTGGAAACCCCCCCCCTCCCCGGCAAAACCCCCCCCTTTCCCTAACCCCTCCCCCCCCCCCCCCCCCCCCCCCCCCCCACCCCCCCCCCCCCCCCCCCCCCCCCTCGAAAAACCGGGGGGGTCACTACCGGTTCGAACCCCTCCCCCCCCCCCCCCCCCCCCCCCCTCCGGATCCGGAAAACCGAGGGGGGTCACTACCAGTTCGAACCCCCCCCCCCCCTCGAAAACCGGAGGGGGATCACTACCGGTTCGAACCCCCCCCCCCCCCCACTCACCGCCAGCAAACGACTCCCGGTCCCTACCACCGTCCGCATCACATCCTCCACTGTTGTTCCCAGCACCACTGTCCTCACCACCACTGTCCCCACTGTGTCCCCACCAGTGCCCCCACCACTGTCGCACTGTCCCCACTGTCCCCACCACTGTTCCCACCACGGTTCCACTCTCCCCACTGTCTCCACGGCCCCAACCACTGCCCGACTATCCCCACTGTCCCCACTGTCCCACTGACTCCGCCGCTGTCCCACTGAGCTGTCCCACTGTTCCCACCACTGTCCCCACTGTCCCCACCACTGTCCCCACTGTACCTCTGTCCCATTGTCCCACCGCCGTCCTCGCCACCGCCTTCACCACTGTCCCCACCACCATTGTACCCTCCACTGTCCCATTGTTTCCACCTCATTCCCACTGTGCCCACACCACTGTCACCACCACCACCGTCCCCACCACTGTCCACTGTCCCCCCTGTTCCCACCATTGTCCTCACCACTGTCCCCACCACTACCGGCCCTCTACTGTCCCACTGTCCCACTGTCCCCACCACTGTCCCGCTGTCCCCTCACCACTGTCCCACCAACACCGTCCCCACCTCTGTCCGCACCCCCACTCGGTTTTCGAGGGGGGGGGGGGGAGGGGTTCGAACCGGTAGTGACCCCCCCCCCTTTTCATGATGAGCTGGGGGGGGGGGAGGGGTTCGAACCGGTAGTGACCCCCCCCGGTTTTCCGGAGGGGGGGGGGGGGGGGAGGGGTTCGAACCGGTAGTGACCCCCCCCGGTTTTCCGCCAGCAGCGGTAGAACACGCTCTTTCAAATCTTGCCGTCGCGACCCGAATCCTACGTGTTTTACGAGGGAAGCGGGTCCGACGCGAGCCTGCTAAGCGGGATTTGATTGGAACCGCGGCAAACCCGCGGATGTGAGGCAGGCGCCCCGTCTCGAGCGGATGCCGCCCGCGGCGCCCGCGGCAACACCCACAGCGGGGGCCCTCTCCGCCACAGTGGGGGAAGCGCGGCCGCAAAGAGGCCGACCCTTGCCCAATTGCGCTGTGGTGCCCGAAGCCCAGCAGGCCCGTGGACCCCCCCACGGCGAGGGCCCTCTCCGCCACAGGGGGGAAGCGCGGCCGCAGAAGGCCGACGCTTCCCCCTGTGCGCTACGGTGTCCGAAGCCCGGCAGGCCCGTGCACCCCCCCCCAAAAAAAAATGTGTGGTGTAGACTTTCGGGCAGACCGGATACCGCACCCCAGACCAACGCCCTCGTTATGCACACCAGGACGGCTGCATACACCTCAAACTGGGCGGACCACCAGAATCGCAAGCTTCAGTGGACTCAGGAGCACCGTGCTGGCTCGGATAACCAGTGCGCAACACCCGCCCTGCCGCGGAATTCAATCGCGCGGCAAGCGCCCTAGTCTCCAAACGCGCGAGCCCCGTCAACTGCAGTTCAGCGCTGCGCTGACCGCGATAGCCCAAGCCCCCAGCAAAAACACCCCGCGGGTGGTGTATATCCTGCGCTCCACCGACAGAGACCGCTCTGGGGGGATGTGCCCTCGTAGCCGACAACTTCCGCCAACGGCGCCGCCCTCACTGTGCGGACCGCCGAACCTGCGCATCCGCTCTCGGCAGGCCGCGGCCGTGCGTCCAGACAGATTCGGGAGCAACTCCCGGGGGGGGTCTCTGCAATAACGATTTAGAAGTGACTCGACGGCGAGCAGGCGAGAAAGAGAGGACTTCTCAGAAGGCGGCGGGACTTCTCACAATCCCTCGCGACTTCCGAGAGGTATTCTTTGTCTTTGGGGAAAGCTCAGAAAACTTCTCAGAAGGCCGGGGGACTTCCGAAACTTCTGAGAAGGCCTTCTCCTTCTCACTTCCCCCCCTCGCTCGCCGCCGAGTGACTACAAGCCCGATTAAAGGACCCGGGGATAAACCGAATTCAGCCAGAGTAAGCCAGACTAAGCCCGAGCAGGCGGGATGAACCCAGATTGGGCGGGATGATGCTGGACTGTGCTGGTTGCCGACAAGGAATGTACCAGCAGCGGTGCTGAACTGTACCTCCAAGGAATTGCCATCTAATCTACAACACTGGGGGTCGGACTTCAAGACGGCCATCGCTGGAGTTTGGTTGCCGATCACGCCCCCCCACGAGGTCTTCTTACAGTCATTTCGCTACCAGACAGGGAATGTAAATCAGGAGCGTACCCCCTTTATGTCAACATCAGAACGTACACGTCTAAGGAACGACCGAGCACCTCGTGGGAGGCGTACTATCGTTTTTGCTTCACGTTTGAAAGTGGCCACACCCATCCCAACGAACGCTGATGGGGATTTTGGCAAACCTGCGAGGGAACGCACGCAGACATCAAGGAACCAACGAGCCCCTTCCGCACCCGAACTGGATCACATCGGTCAGAATGAGCATGATGCGTGAACATGAACATGATTCGTGCGCGCTTGATGCTATCCAACCCATCGGAACCACAATTTACCCCAGCCCGTGCAAGACAACAACATCGCACTGGCGACTTCAGGTGAATCTTAGGAGGCAGCCCAGCTGCGCAAGCAGCACTTGCATACCACTGAGTCGAGACAATTCTGGGCAGCTTCTGCGCAACCGCATCTTGGGACAATGGTAATGATGTGCCGCTGACTGAACCAAACATGGAGTTCGCCCACCAACGCCCGATGCCCGCCACCGTGCCGTAGGCACGGAGTGGAGTGGCCTCAGGTCACTTCAAATTCTCTGAGTGGATACTCTCAGTGCTCGCCGAGGGAGCCAGACCCCCCATCGCCAGCTACGCGCAGGGGGGACCATAGGCAAGAATGACCTGTGGTGCGCTTCGCTCGAAGGCCGTGAGGAAACCAAACCCAGGCGCGCAGTTAGCTGCTATCGCATCGCGTTCAGCCGTCTGGGGACCCCAGCATGCCGGCACCGAAGGTCACTCTGATAAAATCACTATTGCTCGTAGCCGGCATTGCAAGCTTCCCGCGTGACTTCCGGGGCGTCCCGCAAGAGGTCTCCCAGGTGCAGAGAGCCCTGGAGCCACAAGGTCCCCAGAGGGCCCAAGCACGGACCGAGATGGCCCCGAGACGGCCCAAGAGCCCTCAAGACGACCAAAGAAGCCGCCGAGACGTCCCAAGAGGGCCCCACGAGGACGGCAGAGAGGGCCACAAGACACCAAAAACTCAATTTTTCAGTATTTGCTTGAGGGATGGTCTGATTCTCCCCTTTTTGGGCTTCCGGCTCCAAGACGGCCCAAGGGGCCCGCAGGGTCGCCCTGAGAAAGCCCAAAAAGGCAAGCAGAAAGGCCCCACGAAGGCTCAGGATGGCCTCAATACCGCCGAGGCCTTCAAAAGCTCGACAAGTGGGCCCAAGAGAAAACCAAGAGACCATTGGATCCCTTTGCGCAAGCATTGCCCTCAAGACCCCAGGCATACCCCCAAGAGGCCCAGCAGCGAGCAAGAGGCCAGGCCACCAGAGCCGCCTCGCGAGGCCTCAAATGGGGCCCTCAAGAGGCATCCCAAGAGACCTCAACATACATATGTCCGCGAGGACTCTGGCCCGCAACCCACGAGACGCACAAAGACATACTAATAATTCGCCGGCCCAACGGGCCAGGGCGTGCTAAGATCTCCGGTACCTGGTTAACAGTATTTCTAGTTCGCGCGCGCGGGGCGGCCCCTGGGGGTCCCCGGACGAAAAGTACCCCGGCAAGGTCCCGGCAAGTCCCCGGGTCGGGCCAGAGATGCCGGAGCCCTGTTACAGGGCCCCAGGACGGGCCAAGAGGTCCCCAAGAAGCCTCCAAGACGGTCCAAGAGGGCCCCGAGACGGCCAAAGATCGCCCGAAGACGCCCAACAGGGCCCCAAGACAGCCCAAGAGGCCTCCAAGACGCCCCAAGGGCCTTCCAAGAGGCCTCCGAAGAGGGCCCCAAGAGGCCAAAATCGTTGATTTTCATTGTTTTTTCGATGTTTTTTTGCGTTCTGGCTTTTTCGGCTTCCGGACGCTCCAAGACGGCCCAAGAGGCCCCAAGACCGCTCCAAGACGGCCCACGAGGCTCCCAAGACGGCCCCGGAACGGCCCAGGAGGGCCCCCAAGACGGCCCAAGTGCCGCCCAAGACGGACCAAGAGGCCCCAAGACGGGCCCAAGAGGGGCTCAAGAAGGGAACCGAGAACTGAACAATCGAGCCCTCCGCCCCAGAAGGCGCCCAGGAGGCCCCAAAAAGGCCCCAAAGGCCCCAAGAGGCCCCCAAGACGCTCCAAGAGGCGCCCAAGAGGCCCAAAAGAGGCCCCAAGAGGCCCCAAAACGGCCCCCAAGAGGCCCCAAAACTCGGCTAGCCCACAACGGTGCGACAATATGGGCCGGCGGAATGAGCGAAGCGATTAAATATGTCCCCCTCGGAGGCGCGCGTCCGACCCAAACATATTGTATACTCATCTTGTAGTAGATAGTTGCCCCAGCAGTGTGGCCAGAACACGCCTGCCACGACGCATATACCATAAGATGTCTCGATGCGCACGTCGCCCCTGGGGGGGGGCGACGCACACGTAGTAGTAGTAGTAGTAGTAGTAGTAGTAGTAGTAGTAGTAGTAGTAGTAGTAGTAGTAGTAGTAGTAGTAGTAGTAGTAGTAGTAGTAGTAGTAGTAGTAAGTAGTAGTAGTAGTAGTAGTAGTAGTAGTAGTAGTAGTATAGTAGTAGTAGTAGTAGTAGTAGTAGTAGGTAGTAGTAGTAGTAGTAGTAGTAGTAGTAGTAGTGGTAGTAGTAGTAGTAGTAGTAGTAGTAGTAGTAGTAGTAGTAGTAGTAGTAGTAGTAGTAGTAGTAGTAGTAGTAGTAGTAGTAGTAGTAGTAGTAGTAATATGTTGAGATGACGCCGAAAGCACGATGGCGTATAGGCCGAGGGCAACAAGATAGTATGCATCTCTGTCCTGGTAGGGGGGCGCATTCGGAGTCGAGGGCGCGTCAGAGCACAGGATGGCCTTGACGGAGCGGCGTGTCCTTCCAGCGCCCCCGTGGATCTGCAACAACTCGCCTCCATCCGCCGACCGACTGTGCTCAAGACAAGGAGAGCCGCACTTGTGCATAGCCGTGGTATACATCCAAAGTAAGACAAAATGGCAAAGTCGACTAAAACAACATCCGACTGCAAAATAACTTCACGTGCATGCACGTAGGTCAGCCAACTACAACGTAACATTGGATAAAAAGGGCTACCCTAACCAGCACATGCAAGCAACACCAAAGCATGGACCACACGGATGCGCGAACATGTGCGCGGCGGAACGGGCGCCAAACAGACACACACACACACGCACACACAACTGCAACATGAGTAACCCGAACACAGTGAGATATGCGTGTGCCTTCATACAAAGATCTGAGTTCTAGAGATAGCAATCACGCATCGGCAGACACACATAAGCGTGAAACTACTGATGCGAGCTGACAGCAGGATGAGCAAAACCCATGTGCAGGTCGCACCCCACAAACTGAAGCAATGACGCAATAGGTCGGCAAACGAACGAAAAAACACAAACTGAAGTCCTGGGGTTCCGTTGCAGCGGAGCATCCAGTCGCAGAACCTCCTCGTGTTCACGCGTGCCCACCCTCTTACCTCCTCATGCCCACCGTCTCTACAATTTGGATAGTGTTCTGGCTCGCACGTGCCGACGTGCACTAACTAAGAACTGCATGTGGCTCCTAGGGGCAAACCAATCACCAACACAAAAAGCAGCTCGCGCGATGCAAGTGATCGAGTGCCGTGGACACATATACACGTAGCTTAAGAGACATAGACACGTAAACAATTGCTCGGGTGCCGTGCGAGAATTCGGGTGCCGTGGACACATAGACACCAGCTCCCGAAGACGGAACGCTGAACTGGCCATACGATGTGACATGGTAAAGTGGACTAGGCACAGAGCAGCGATTCGCAGTCAAGAGAAGGTAGATGCGCCTCGCGTCATCACTCAGTCGAGCGCGCACTATTCAGTGGATCAACTAGCGTAGCGCAGAGAGCAGAGAGCAGTAGGTGCGCTGGCAAGCCTGGCCGTCATTGAAGATCGCATGACATGTGCGCAAGTCGGCGTGCTAGTAGGCGGTTCGGCCATCTGGACTAGCCCTAGAAGCGAGAAGTACGTACTGTATAGAATCACTGGCTGCGGCTAAGAAGAAGCTTGAGATCCTCGTGATGAGCTCAACGAGTCTAACGCGTATGGTGGATACGAGTTCCTTCAACAGAGTTGCGCCCCACCGAAAGCCCATCCCCGCGATTCCAGTAAGAACATCGGCCGATGTCTGCAGGAGTGGTATCAAGCAAAGACATAGTGCTTGAGATCCTGTACGCCTCTCAATAACGTAAATGAAAGCGATCAAGAAAAGAAATGTCAGGGGCACACTTTGGGGGCAACAATACGGCAAATTCGTGTCGTGTCGACCTCAGCGTTGGTTCCTGACACCGCCGGGGTCGTTCAACCTTTAACGATTGGCCGTTGCCGCAACGTCCGATCGTTCATCATCGGCCGATTATAGGTCGCTGGCGGCGTACAACGTTCAACGCCGGCGGACGCCGGCGGCCAGGTCGCTGCCTGTCGACACGACGCGAACCTAACGTACTGAGAGTGGCCGGTCGCACACCGCCAGGCACCGCGTCGCAACTTGTCTGAGAGCTGGCTCGAGATCTGCGCCCCATGCCCTGACGTACCATTGACCAATAAAATGGAGATATGTGGTCAGGCGATCTTACTTCCGCCGCAACTGCAGAGAGCCTCACATACAGCCTTGTTGGCTCTGGCGAATCGACGCTAATGGACGCGACGCTAATTCGACGCGAATCGAGGCTAATCGATGCTAAATCGGCGCTAACACACTCTAAAAAAAGGAATCACGGGGGTATACACGGCCCCCATGGTTTGGTACCCCCATGGCCGCAGCATCAGAGCTGCCTCAAGGCTGCATCATAGCCATCTGGCTGCGACGTACGGCTACCGAGTCGGCCGACGACTGACGTGTAGCTACACCACCCCCGACCACCTCTCTCTGCCGCTGGGCTTCTCCGGTGGATACAGTGCAGCTACACACCGCACCTCGTAGCGCACGAGGTGGCACGACCTCATGGGTAGGCTACCTTCTTCATGCAGACTGCATCAGGCAACGCCACCCTCTCCACGCATATAAATCGCAATCGCCTCAGTGAGGGCCCTCACGCCTTGGCCGCCTTCGGAAAACACATCGCTACCTGTATTGCACCCTCAGGAATTCTGGCCCGTGTGCCGAATAATATACCCAACGTATGACTGATTGCTGGTGCACCCTCGACATGCGAGCCTTCAAGCTTGCCGATGGCAAGTCTGCACATCTCGCCGAGCAGTATCACAGCACGGTGGGGGGCAGTGGAAATATGTTGAATGTGCTGGCAACGGCTGCATATACCTTACACCCAACGCACTCGGGCCCCAAGCTAATATCTTTCCACCGCACACACAGTGAAAGTTGACAAGCTAAATGCGCACTCGAACTTTTGCACAGAGCTACGCACAACACAGCTCATTGCCAACTTTAGTCACTGTGCGCAATCGCAGCCCGCGTCCACTGGTCCGAGGCCCAATGCAAGCGGATGTTTAGCGACTCGCTCCCTCAATAGAATGGCCACACCAACCATGCGAACATCTCAAAAATGTCCAGATCGGCACCACGAGCCAAGCCGGGCGTCTCATCCTGCTGGCGAATCATCATCATGCTGCCCAAATTCGTCGTCCTCCTCCTCCTTTACTTCCTCCTCATCACCATCGCTGAACCTCCTGCTGCTGAACTACGTATCATCCTCCCACCCCTTCTCCCCTTTCTTCCTCCTCCTCCTCCTCAGCATCAGCATCACCACCATCACCATCACCATCACCACCATCATCATAATCATCATCACCAGCAGCAGCATCATCGCCAGCATCAGCATCATGGGCATCAACAGTATCGTCATCATCACCATCATCATCGTCATTATCATCATCATCAGCATCAGTATCAGCACCATCATCAGCAGCACCAGCATCAACAACATCATCACCATGGCCTTCCTCACTCCCTGCTCACCCTCCCCATCCCTCCCACATGAATCCTGATCCAAACACTTACCTCCCACCTCCTTCTCATACCTCTCTCCTCCTCCTAATTACCTCCCTCCTTCTCCTCATCCTCCTCATCCTCCTCCTACTCTCCTCCTCATCACCGCAATCATCTGAATAATCATCAGCAGCAGCATTATCATCGACAGCATCATCAACATCATTACCACCATCAGGATCATCATCGTCATCATCAGCAGAATCATCACCCTCATCGTGATCATCCTCATCATCATCAACAACATAATCATCAACAGCATCAGCTTCAGCATCATCATAATCATCAACATCAACATCAACATCATCATCATCATCAGCATCATCATCATCATCATCATCATCATCATCATCATCATCATCATCATCATCATCATCATCATCATCATCATCATCGCTATCATCATCAGCTACCTCATCATCATCTTCATCTTCACCATCACCATCACCATCATCATCATCATCATCATCATCATCATCATCATCATCATCATCATCATCATCATCATCATCATCATCATCATCATCATCATCATCATCATCATCAGTGCCATTATCATCACTCTTCCCGGTTGTCCTCGACGAATGCCTCCGCGAGCCCTTCCAGATCAGAGGCCACCTCCTCTGCGGCCTCCTTCTCGGAGGCCTGTCCAGGGTGGGCGCGCTCGCGCGCGCAGGGGAGACAGAGGTCGGCAACTGGCCAGAACCCGTGCTGGTCTCCCCTCAAAGACCCCCAGACGGCTCCCACAGTCCACGATCGGGGCTTTCCCACCGCCGGCTCGTCCTGTGTTGGCCGATGCTGGGCCTCTGGCGCTTTTCGACCTGGAACGGCCGCGGGGGTCGCTGCCGCGCCGGCCCGGCACAAGCCAGCGGCGGACCGGCGTGATGGTGGAGCGAGGGCGCGTGTGGCAGAGGGGAGAGGAGGGGGGGAGGGGGGAGGAGCGGAGAAAGAGGGGAAGGGGGGGATGGGAGGGAAGGGGATGGGAGGGAGAGAGGGGAGGGGGGGCGGAGAACAGGAGGGGGAGAAGAGGGGGGGGAAAGGAAGAGGAGGGGCGGAGAAGAGGGGGGAATAAGAGGGGAGGGAGGGGAGGGGGGAGGGGGGAAAGAAAGGGGAAAGGGCGGGGGTAGGGACGGGTAGGAGCAGAGAGGAGAGGGGGGGGAGCAGAGGGGGAAAGGGAGGGGGAGGAGCGGAGGAAAGGAGAGGAAAGGGGAGGAAAGGGAGGGGAGGGCGATGAGCAGAGGGGAAAGGGGAGGGGTGCAGAGGGGGAGGGGGAGAACTATACGAGGCGGCGGAGAATGCAGCAAACAGATACGATGATGAACATTGCTATGAGAAGTGTTGGGGTGCACACACCTGATTCGTCTGTCCTTGAGGCCTCTACGCAAGGTGCCCCAGAATTTCTGCAGATCCCTGGACTATCGGCTATCGGGGATGGGAAGGTTTCGTGTGCACCTGATGGCATGCTGATTTCATATCTGAGGTGCCTGTTGTACGACGGCGACGACGACGACGAAGAGGAAGGGCGAAGAGGAAGAGGACGACAAAAAGAGGCGCGGCCAGGCGGAAGAGCATGTTTCCGAGCGCGTTCGCCGAGGTCATGTTGACCTCCCCTGCCCTCAATTACCCTTCCCCCAGGCGCCTCTTCCCTCACAACCTGACAGTGCCTCCCATGTTGCAAAAATCCCCATCCGTCCGAACTTCCACTTCTCCCCACTCCCGTTCCCCCCGCTCCTCCTCCTCCTCCTCCTCCTCCTCCTCCTCCTCCTCTTCCTCCGCCTCCTCCTCCTCATGCTCCTCCGCTTTCTGCTCCTCTCCGTCCTCCTCCCTTTCCTCCTCCTCCTCCTCCTTCTACTCTTCCTCTTCCTCCTCCTCCTCCTCCTCCTCCTCCTTCTCCTCACCCTTCTCCTTCTCCTTTTCCTCCTCCTCCTCCTTCTCTCCCTACTCCTTCTCATCCTCCTCATCCTCCTCTTCCTCCTCCTTCCTGCTCCTCCTCCTGCCATCCCATCCAGTCTGGGAATCCCCAGAGACCCAGGCAGGCTGCTGGGGGCTTCGAGACGACCCAAGGGTAACCCCGCGACAGTTAAAGATGGCTTCAGAAACGTTCTACCAGGCTCCCCCAAGACAGCCCAAGAATGCTCCCACAGGGCCGCCGACAAGGCCCCACGAAGCAAACATCGCCCCAGTCCCGTCGGGAGTCGTCACACACACAGACACGTCTGTTTCATCTTGACAGCGTCCACTACGGCCCCAAGGGTCCCGAAGATCATCCCAAGACGGTCTGTGAGGCCCCCAAGACGGCCTCAGGGTCTGCTGAGACGGCCCAGGAAGGCCCCCAGAGGGGCACTACGGATTGACATCTCGAGTCTTTCCCGGCGCCATGGCGCCAAGATGAGTCTTCTCAGAGGCACCCAAGAGGCCCCCATGAGGCCTCCGACAGGCCCCCAGAAGCCAATCAGATGCCCCCAAGAGCCTTAAGAGGCCCCTGAGGTGCATTCCAGGAAGCCCTCATGTGCATGCCTCAGGCTCCTGACCCACAGGCCAAGCACGGTGGCACGACCCTTCTTTAACGAATGCACTGCTATAGGGGTCGGCGGGATGGCACAAGCCCCTTGAAGAGCGTCATTTAAAAAAACTACATCACAAACGAAGGAGGACCGGGATGCTGTCATGAGTAGGAAAGAAAAAAGAAGGAGGCTTACGGTAAGCCACTTACCCTCCGTGTCCGTACTACCACCCCTGTTTTGATGGCAACTGGACTCTATTTGCTGTGCGCTTCCCCGACATTGGGAGTCAAGACTGCCGTGTTGCGGGTCCTCCAAACTGGAGCATTGAGTCCAGACGACCTGCAGGAAGACAGCTATAATTATTATCCACCTGAAGTCCCCTGTTACCGCCAATGGATAAGATGCTCTTGCACGTCGTTCGCCAAAGTTCGGCGGAGCCCCATAATGCGCAAACCCGGCGTCAGGCGCTTGCCTCACGGCCTTCACCAGGCTGGCTACATACCGCGTCAAGCCTCACCGCTCGCAAAGATCAGGCAGCACGAACCCGACCTTCAGCCGCAGGGCGGATTCCCGTGACGCACTCCCGCGCCTCCCCCCCCTCCCCCGAAAGGCCGAGCGGTGGCACGCCCGGCACAGGGTTCCCCCGCAAGACTGCACGAAAGCGGCGCTGAAGAACCCCTTTATCGGCCTCCGCCTCCTACCTCCTCCTCGCTCCTCCCTCCCTCCCTCTTCGCTCCACCTCCCTCCCCGCCTCCCTCCCTCCCCTGCCCCCCCCCCCCGCCCCCCGGGCCATGAGCTGCACGAGCAGCGTCAGCGCCTCCGGCAGGCGCAGCGTGCCCGCGGCCACGGCCTCGGGACCGGCGGGGGGGCGAGCGCCCGGGCGGCGCACCAGGACGGCGCCGGCAAGCCGGCCGCAGCGGGGGCCGGAGCAGAAGGGGTGAGGGCTGGCAGCTCTCGCACAGACACGTGCTGGCCGGCGTGGATCCCGGACGGCGGGATGGCAGACCTCTCGGGGTGCAAACCTGAATGTGGCCCAATCTGGGTGCTGCAGTACGCGTGGCGCAGCGCATGATGGAATGCAACTAGAGGGCGCAATCGGAATGCGGTGCAATCTTTATAGTGGAATGTGTGTGTGTGTGATGCAATCAATGTCGTAACATGTTGTTGTTTGTTTCAACCGTGCTTAATGTTGTCCAACATACGGGTACGGCGAGACCTGCTGTTGGCCGCTGGTTTGGAGAGACCCGAACGCAGGGGCTTGGAGATGGGGCGCCTTGACCGCCCTCGAGACCCCGAAGAGGTCCCGCTGAGGCGTTGCACAGAGGACGCCCACAGAAAGGGCGCGAGGCCGCCTCCGAGGCAGGAAGAGGCCGAGCCCTGGGCGCGGACGCGCTGCACACGGCAGGCCTGGAATGGGATCAGACCAGAACCATAGTGGGGACACTGCACCGTGGCACTAGTCTTAACTTCCTTAGGAGGCAACTACTGGGAGGTTTTCTTCGGAAGCAGTGAAGAAGATTCAGCCCAATTTGGGAACTGTTACGCCGGAGTGGGCCTCGGACCAAGCGGGATTAAGCCGGATCAAGCGGGATTAAATGGGATTAAGCGGGAAGAAGTGGGCTTAAGCTGGAATAAGCCGGACTTCGGGCCAGGGCAAAATCAGAATTTGACCTCCCAGGAGATGCATCCGCAAACTTTCTGGGTCCACCCCCACCTGCCCGCCCCCATCCACATGAGGACCGACGAGCCGAGGACGCAGGGGCAGGCCGAGGAGGAGGGCCAATGGATGGGGGCGCCGCCTCCGCACCAGCGCCCCTCCTGGCCAAACCCTGAGCGCACTCGAAGGGCGGCCGGAGCCGCGACGCGCTGCTCCTCCGCCTCAGAGGGCAGCTCGCTACGTGAAGCTCGGGGAATTTAGGAGGCAACTGCTGGGAGGTTTTCGTCGGAAGGATTAAGGAGGATTAAGCCCCATTGAGGGGCTGTTACGCCAGAATGGGCTTTCGGATCAAGCGGGATCAAGCAGGATTAAGCCGGATTAAGCGGGATTAAATAGGATTATGCCAGATCAAACGGGGATAAGCCGGATTAAGCCGGACTTCGGACCAGGGCTAAATCAGAATTTGACGTCCCAGGAGTTGCATCCGAAGGGGATGTAGGCAGGTTGGGCCGACGGGTCTCCCTCGAACGGGAAGTCGACGGTGATGTCGACTGGCCACAACTGGGGGAGCTGTGGTCCTTACCCCCCTTGGGGGAACCCATCGCATCGACGATCTCTCGAGAGGAGTGTCGAAATCGATGGGCCCCGCAGGGGTGTAAGGAACACAGCTACCCCAGTTGTGGCTGGCCTGTGACGTTCGGCCTCTTGGGGTGCCTGCCTTTGGAAATCATTCACCAAACACGCCTGCCGAACCTGGACGGGGAAAGGGAACATTGGGCCTTGAAGCCAACGATCCGTCCATGGGAGCTGTAGGCCTTGCAAACGGTACAAACTATGAAGCTAGAACCGTCACTGCAAGGAAGGAGGATACAATTATGCTCGAACGCCGCAACAGCCTGGAGATCAAAGGAAACACTGCCAGAGCACCTTCCTGGAGGGAGCCTCTTGTGCCAACGCTTACTACTGACCTGCCAGAAAACCCTGCACCTCCAGAATGATTCAAAGCAAACCCAACTGCGCGACGGCAAACAGGAGAGAGGTTTGGGCAGCCCGGGGGGGGTATGTAGTCGACTTGGCCAAATACTCTGAGGGACTGCCAAATCGGAAGCAGCTTCATACTCAAGAACCGGAACAGCAAGGGCATGGTTGAACTGACTGAGAGGTCTGAAAAGGAGTGGTGAGCACGAGCCATCTTTGCGACCTGATCGGCCGCATCGCTTCCCTCGCGACAAAAAAGGTACCTCACCTGTGATGTCGGCATCCTCTGGGCTTTGGTGAGCACGCACATGCGTAACACTGGAAATAAGCTTGAACGAAGGATGAGCCCGAGCACGCACATGCGTGACACTGGAAATCAGCTTGAAAGAGGGATGAGCTCGAGCCTGGAGGAGATGCCCAGCTTAAGCACGCTTGTCGGAGAACTGATGGGGCCTGTGGCAGCGCGAGTGCATCAACCAAACACTTACAAGCTCTGACAATGTGGCTCTCGCCAGTGACTGGCTGGACGGCAGCCAGGCGCGCACAGAACTCAGCGGCTGGGGGGGGGGGATCTGGGGGATGTAGGCCCACACAGGTCCAATGGCCCTGCATGCGACCTCCTGCTCGGCGGCGAGCGAGGGGGGGAAATGAGAAGGAGAAGGCCTCCTCAGAAGGCGGCGGGACTTCTCAGAAGCCCTCGCGCCTTCTGAGGGGTTGTTTCTGTCTTCGGGGACGGCTTAGAAAACTTCTCAGAAGTCCGGGGGACTTCCGAGCCTTCTGAGAAGGCCCGCCCCTTCTCATTTCCCCCCCTCGCTCGCCGCCGACCTGGCCCTTCATACAACACTTCGCTCTACGAAGCATGGTTCATCTCACGCACCAACAAGCGGGTTCAGGAACCATCCACAAACATCTGGCAATGAAACCCGTCGGGGTGGGGAGGGCCGGCATACCAGTGAACATCCGAGGTCCAGTCATCCATATGCGAGGAGGGGGGAATGCGGTCTCGTGGGTGAGGAAAGGCCCCATGAGTGAGGACGAAGAGCTTGTCGGCACCTCTCGAAGCGAAATCCACAGCACCGTCCACCAACTCCTTCGGAACAAGTCCCCTCCTCAAATCATCACATGCAGTACACATCCAGAGACTGTGGAATAAGCTGTCCGAAGGGCCATAAGCTGTAAACTGTGTGAACTATAGGGTGCGATCTCTCTCTCTCTCTCTCTCTCTCTCTCTCTATATATATATATATATAGATATGTGTGTATGTTCACATACATGTATTAGAACCTCGCGACCCTCGAAAACGACACAACTCTACATGTGCACGAAACTACACATATTGCCCATAAGTTGCGACGACAGACGCCCGTGGAAAACATTGGCTACTGGGGTGGGAGTGTGGCCGCCACCTGGGCCCAGAGACGAGGTCGCCAGGTACAGTTTGGATCCCAAACATACGTGGTTCAACCTGTGCGGTGTAACATGTGGTGCAGGCCATGTGTTGCAAATAATGGGGGTGCTTTGCGTCCACCAAGGGAGAGATGGCAACCTGCTCGATCCTCGACGGCGAGGCCCTTTCTTGAAAGCCTCCCATGTGTATCTACACGTCGTTCATGTCTAATCGTGCTCATTTCTAATTGTGCTCGTTTCTAATGGTTCCTGGCCCCCTAGTGGCCAGGAAGAGGCCCAGGATAGAACAATTAGAAATCAAAGGATCTTGGCACCCCACAGAAATCAAATAACTTTCGAATACTTAGAAATTAACAACGTGTACAGTAGGGGCCCGACCACAGGAAACCTTGCGTCCATGGATGTTCGGCGTGGGGTCGTCATGCCTCCCATGGCAAAACCCTCGAAACCCAAGAAACCCAGAACACCCTGGAGGCAAGCAGGGTGTTTCTCGGCATGGATCTCCATTGTAATACCCTTGCGCCGCCAATTCAAGAAGAGCTGTGCAGAGGGGAACTACAAGTGCGTCCCCCGGCGTGGGCGAAGTCCAGATTTCCCTTCAGGCCTCGCCACGCCCCTAACAAAAACCTCCTCATCATTCTCCTCTTCCTCCTCCTCCCTCCTCCTCCTCCTCCTCCCCGTCCCCCTCCTCCTCCCCCTCCTCCCCCTCCTCCCCCTCCTCCCCCTCCTCCTCCTCCTCCTCCTCCTCCTCCTCCCTCCTCCTCCTCCTCCTCCCCTCCTCCTCCTCCTCCGCCTCCTCCTCCTCCTCCTCCTCCTCCTCCTCCTCCTCCTCCTGCTCCTCCTCCCTCCTCCTCCCTCCTCCTCCTCTTCCTCCTCCTCCTCCTCCTCCTCCTCCTCCTCCTCCGCCTCGTCCCCCTCCTCCTGGGGTGCAGACGGTGGGGTGCAAGCCGCGTGGAGCAGCAGGTGCAGCTGGCCAACAGGGCGGCCACGAGGCGTCCCCGCGGACGGCCCCGGGAGAGAGCCCAACAGAAGGCACGGGCCCCTCCACAAAAACGGAACACGTCGACGAGCATCGTCCTCCATCCTCGATCCTCCTCGAACCTCCTGCTCCTCCTGCTCCTCCTGCTCCTCCTGCTCCTCCTCCTCCTCCTCCTCCTCCTCCTCCTCTTTCTCTCCCTCCTCCTCTCCCTCCTCTCCTCCTCCTCCTCCTCCTCCTCCTCCTCCTCCTCCCCCTCCCCCCCTCCTCCTCCTCCTCCTCCTCCTCCTCCTCCTCCTCCTCCTCCTCTCCAGATCCTCCCTCCTCCTCCTCCCCTCCTCCTCCTCCTCCTCCTCCTCCTCCTCCTCCTCCTCCTCCTCCAGATCCCCGATCCTCAGTCATCGATCCTCGACCCCCATGCTCGGTCCTGCTTGGGACGTCTCGGTCCTCGACCCTCGGTCATCCTCGATCCCCGATGCCTCCAACAGCTTCAAGAATCTCGATCCTCCATCATGAGCCTCCTCCGCCTCCAGACTCTCGCGAAAGGCCGCGGCAGGGGCCTCCCGGATACCGGCGATGGCGCCGCCGTCGGCCGCCCTGGGGTCCACGAGCAGCTCGTGGAGCGCTGCGGGTCAGCCAAGGGCAGGGACAGACCCGGCGACGGCAAACTGGGGCGCACACCATAGCCCACGCAGGTGCGGATGAGAGTGAGGGGGCGGGGGGGGGTTGTCGGCGCATGCCATCAAGTACGAAGAAGCCCGCCGCAGGCGCCGACTTTGTTTTCACATCACCAATCCTGCGCGCCGCAGGGGCCGAGTTTTCGTCAAAGCATGAGTCGCGGGCGGGTTGCGAGCGGGGCGCGGGCGAGGACGACGACAGAAACAACATAACAAACAACACGCAGCAAGAAGAACCTTTACCGCGGAAGCCCACTTGAGGCTGTAAGACAGGTCTGCCCCTTCACTCTGATCAGAGGGACGAGGCCGAGCGGTCTTACACCATCCATGAGTGCATGCCTGATATGGGTTCCGTGGCCCGAGTTCTGCTTGTTTGTCTCATCTTTGAAGAAAAACATATACCTGCTTGTTTCTCTCATTTCTGAAAATCATTGATGTCGATCACCCCTCCCAAGTAACCCGTACATGTTTCCATTGAAGTGTCCCTCCCGGGGCTCGCACCCTTTTTTGTTTAATCAGGGAAGGCCTTGGGTCTCCAAACTAAGGTTGTTGTGGCCCCCGATGTACTACAACAACGGCTAAATCGCGCTCTCGCTCGGGACCCCCTTTCAATTTGCTCAGGAATCACACTCTCGCAGGGGACTTCCTCGCAATGGAAGCACACTCTTGATCTGGCTTTCCTCACGATCCACTTGGGAATCGCGGTATCGCTGAAGGCTTCCTCGCGGCTATTGCAGAGCTGACGCTTCAGCGAAACGCCTACTCGACCCTGCTAATTTCTTACGTGCTCCAGTATTCTTCCTCACCCTTGCCTCTTCCCTCCTCCCTCCTTTCCCGGATTCATGTTTTTGTCCTGTCTTCCTCCTCTTCCTGTTTTGGGGGCTGCGCCACCTTCACGTGACAGGTTAGAAAGATATACCTCTGAGGGGGAAATATCGAAGGGTTTCGAGGGTTTCAAGGTACCCTCTATGAGGGCGGGTATTGAGGGCTTGGGATACACATGTTCAAAAACCCGCGAACAGATAAGAGCGAGCAATCTTAAAACTATTGCTGTTATCGTCGTCCCCCCGACCCCCCGCGACCCCCCGCGACCACCCCGCGACCAGCCCAGCGACCCACCCCGCGACCCACACGCGACCCACCCGAGACCGACCCATGTTGCGTTGACGACAAACTTGGCGCTTTCGGCGGGCTCGTTGTGCCACCTGTAAAAGAAGTCGGCGCCTGCGGCGGGCTTCGTCAAACTGTGCTGCCAAGTCTCGCAGTGCACTCGAAACACGGAGATGCGAGGGTACACAAGGCTTCCAGGATCTGCTGCCGAACTCCCACCCCGCCTCGTCACTCGTATCCGCAACTGCGGGGGCGATGGCATGTCTGTGAATGAGGAGGGACAGAAACCGACACAATCAATCGTCGGCTCCCTGGAAAATATAGGAACATATGGGAAGTGGGGGGGGGGCGGTGAATTCGAGAACCCAGACAATATGGGAAGATATGGGGGGTCCTGTTATTTGTGCCTATGTGTGTATGTGTGTGTGTGTGTGTCTGTGTGTGTGTGTGTCTGCCCGGTCCACCAAGGCCAAAATCATTACAATAAGCGTCGCCGCCGCCGCCGCCGCCGCCGCCGCCGTCGTCGTCGTCGTCGTCGTCGTCGTCATCGCCGTCGTCGACGCCGCCGCCGCCGCCACTGCCGCAGCCGCCACCGCCGTCGTCGTCGCCGTCGCCGTCGCCCTCGCCGCCGCCGTCGCCGTCGTCGCCGTCGCCGTCGCCGCCGTCGTCGCCGTCGTCGTCGTCGTCGGCGTCGCCGTCGCCGTCGTCGTCGTCGCACCGCCGCCGCCGCCGTCGTCGGCGTCGTCGTCACCGTCGTCGTTTCCCTCCCTGTCGTCGTCGCTGTCGCCGCCGCCGTCGACGTCGTCGTCGCCGTTGTCGTCGCCGTAGTAGTGGTAGTAGCTGCATTTGTAGTAGCTCTGGAAGTGACAGTTGTGTTGGTAGCAGTTCCAGTTGCATTAATAGCAACGTCAACACCGGTAGCGGTAGCAGTGCCACGCTAAGTTGATGTAGCTGCGGGGTGCCAGTAACAGTAGCCCTGGTGGTAGCAGTCATAGCATTAGTAGCAGTAGTAGTAACAGTCGCCGTAGCAATTGTAGCAGTAGTGGTAGCAATACTAGTAGTAGTAATAGTAGTAGTAGTAGTAGTCGTAGTAGTAGTAGTAGTAGTAGTAGTAATAGTAGTAGTAGTAGTAGTAGTAGTAGAAGTAGTAGTAGTAGTAGTAGTAGTCGTAGTAGCAGTGGTAGTAGCAGTAGTATCAATAGTCGTAGTAGTCGTAGTATCGTAGTAGTAGTAGTAGTAGTAGTTAACTTAGTAGACGTAATATTCGTCGGAGTCGCAGTTGTAGTATTCGGAGTAGTACTGGTTCTAGTAATAGCACTCGTAAAAGTAGCTGTAAAAGTAGCGGCAGCAGCGGCTGCTTGGAACATCCCCGACAAGGACATCTGACAGAAGCACGATGAGAAACGCTCAGCGGAAAAACGAACAGGTGTAATTTTCTCTGGCACGGTTCAAGCACGCGCCGCGTTCGCCGACGTCCGCGCGCAGGCTCACCGAGACGCCCCGCTCTCAGTGCCCCAAGAATCGAGCGCTGCCGCTGTCCCGAGCCTGCGCCATCGCGACCAGACACCCCGAATGCTGGTCGCCCCCAGCAGCCGCCCCAGCGGCCGCCCCCCATGCCGGTTCGCGCCAGAGGCTGCGAATCACCGCCAGAGGCCAGAATCGTTGTGCGCCATCATCATCACCACATGGCATTCTATCGCTGCCAGTGTTTCTTTTTCCACAGCCGCAAGCGAATATTCCCCGCCTGCATCGGGGAACATCAGGGCAGCCGCGTCCTTCTTCGCGTCGCCCCGAAGGTGTTCCTTGACGCCCATGCGAACTAGAGCCATTGACAACAATCGCTCGTCGAAGTCCAAACTAGCACGCGGGGGGAGCCCATCGAGCAAGTCCCACGCGCAGGCCCAAGCGCGGAGAGCATCACTTTTGGAGACTCCTGCATCGCGCAGCGCATGGACGGGCTTGGCATCGAAGGACAGGATGCTCGCGACAGAGTCTGCGACGCCCCGCCTCCTCTCAGAGACCGCGCAGGCCAGAAATAGACCTCCTGCGTGCCACGCGCGGCAACAATTACATATTGCGCCCGCGGCGGGAGCGCGCACCCAGCGCAAGATTTCCTGGAGCACCCACGCCGCGATGGAGACGATGGCTGGCGTCGCTGCGGTTTTGCCCCTGACTCGCGCATGACAAAGAGTCTCGCCTGAGGGCGCACTCGCGCCAGCGGCTGCGACCGGGGCAACCAACCCCAAATCTTGCGCGATGGGCACCTGGGGCGCAGGCGGCGGGAACACCCTGCGAGGAACAGCTTCTCTGTTCTTGCTCAAGCACAGGAAACAGACGAGATCGTCGACCCCGCATGTCGCGCTGGAGGATGCACCGACCCCGCCCCCCGGGGGCGTCGCGTCAGAGGCTGCGATTTCGACAGCCAAAATAGCGCAGGCCGCCTCCGCCTGTTCGTGCGAATCTATACCTGCGTCGGCCAGGCCCTCTTCAGCCCCAGACCCCATGCCAGCGATCAGGGGCCAATCTTTGTCCTCGACGGGCACGCGCAGGCCCTCCGCTTTGAACAGCCACCGCACAAACCTGGAGAGCCAGAAAGCGGACCACAAATCCTGTCAAAGGGGAGGGGGAGAGAAATGGGGGAGGGGCGGGATGGGGGCGCCAGGCAGGAGGGGGGCCCGGACATCTGCTGTCGTATATATCCAGATCCGAGAACCGGTGTCGCGTTATGTCATACGAGAACGAAGACGAAGACGACGACGACGACGACGACGACGACGACGACGACCACGACGACGACGACGACGGTGCCGACGCTGACGACGCTGACGACGACGACGACGCTGACGCTGACGCTGACGACGACGACGACGACGACGACGACGACGTCGACGAAGACGGCGCCGACGCCACTTGCCTCCTCGGCAGGCCACCGACGACGACGACGACGACGACGACGACGACGACGACGACGACGAGGACGACGACGACGACGACGGGCGATGTCGTCGCCACGGCTGGATTCCCCCTTGAGATCGTGGTCAAAGAGGACACCGATGCCCAACCAGAGGGCCGCAATCGGGAGGCCCCGCGTGGGATGTTTTCGGTTCCCACGCCACCTGACTCGATTGCATGTGGCGCCGGCCCATAGCTGTATCTCGTGCTTTCGCAGGATGCTCTCGGCGTCCCTGAACGTGGGCTTCGCGGCGAACAACTCGGCGAGATCTACGCAAGCGTCCCGGAGCTTACCATTCTGCACGTCAGGCACCAATTTCTCGAATTCGTGCGCACCAGTGCGGCGACTAGCCAGGTTCTTGTAAGGATGATACGCAAAAGTCTCGCCAGGGGCTGAGATTGCGATACATTTCCGGTCTTGGCGGGGTACTAACTGAACATCGTGCTCCCGGCGATTTCCGACGACCTGGTAACCGTCCATGTCCGCCTCCATCGAAGACCACGCGCCCTTTAAGATCTCAGCTCTGTCTGCGGAGTCCGCGCGCTCAAAACGGGATAATGCCTTCGACAAGTGTCCAAGAAGTGAGCTCGCCGACCACCGCCAGTAGCACAGATAGACCACCGCTAAAAGCTCCAAGCGCACTGCAGTCGCGCCAGAGGCTGCGGCCCGAAGATACTCGCCGCTCGCTACGCCGACGCGAATGTCATGTCTGTGAAGCAAAGTGAGAATGAAACCGCCGGCGACGTACGCGCCGATTTTCTCTGTCGGCTTGCCCAAGATATCGCTCACCCTGGCAACTTTCCAATGCTGCCCTTTCAGAGGCGCGCGGTGCTGCGCGCACTTCGAGTTCTTGCAGCTTCCATCATGGTCTCTGGCGCGCTGGTGGCACGTCTTGCATCTCAACACCATCGCGCCAGAGGCTGCGAGGCGCAGCCCCACAACGCGCGCCCTGGCGCCCCCGCGCAGACCCCGTGCTCAGCAAATGAGCGCTTGAGCCCGCTTGAGCCCGCTTGAGCCCGCTTGAGCCCGCTTGAGCCCGCTTGGCCACGCGCGATCGCAGAGAGACGAACGTCTCTCTTGGGGCCCATTATGAATGGTGCTGTCTGCCTCTGGGCATGGCTGGTGCTGGCTCTGCCCAATATGTGCGGGTGTCTGGCTTTCCTTTGATGGTGGTCTGGTCTACTTTTCGGCGGGGTCTGGTCCAGTTTTTGGCAGGGTCTGGTCAACTTTTGGATGGTCTGCTCTACTTTCTGGCAAAGTCTGGTCTAATTTTTGGCAGGGCCTGGTTTACCTATGAGTGGTCTGGTCTACTTTTTGGCAGGGTCCGGTCTACTTTTTGGCAGGGTCGGGTTTACTTATGGGTGGCCTGGTCTACTTTTTGGCAGGGTCTGGTCTAATTTTTGGCAGGGTCTGGTTTACTTATGGGTGGTCTGGTCTACTTTTTGGCAGGGTCTGGTCTACTTTTTGGCAGGGTCTGGTTTACCTATGGGTGGCCTGGTCTACTTTTTCGGCAGGGTCTGGTCTACTTTTTGGCAGGGTCTGGTTTACTTATGGGTGGTCTGGTCTACTTTTTGGCAGGGTCTGGTCTACTTTTCGGCAGGGTCTGGTTTACTTATGGGTGGCCTGGCCTACTTGTCGGCAGGGTCTGGTCTACTTTTTGGCAGGGTCTGGTTTACTTATGAGTGGTCTGGCCTACTTTTTTGGCAGGGCCTGCTCTACTTATGGGTTGTCTGGCCTACTTTTTAGGCAGGGTCTGGTCTACTTTTTTGGCAGGGTCTGGTTTACCTATGGGTGGTCTGTTCTACTTTTTGGCAGGGTCTGGTCTACTTTTTGGCAGGGTCTGGATTACCTATGGGTGGTCTGGTCTAACTTTTTGGCAGGGTCTGGTTTACTTTTTGGCAGGGCCCGGTCTACTTTTTAGCAGTCTGGCCTGCTTCTTCGCAGGGTCTGTGCGACGGGGCTGCCATTGATAGCTTCTCTGGCATGAGCGACGGCGCAGCGTGGGGGTGGGGGGGCGGGGGATGGGGGAGGAAGAGGCGGAGGTGGAGGAGGAGGAGGAGGAGGAGGAGGAGGAGGAGGCGGAAGAGGAAGAGGAGGAGGAGGAGGAGGAGGAGGAGGAGGGGGAGGAGGAGGAGGAGGAGGACGAGGAGGAGGAGGAGGAGGAGGGGGAGGAGGAGCAGGGAGGAGGGGCAGGGGGAGGGGGGGGCGGATGAGCAGGAGGGCGATGAGGAGGGATGGGGGGCGGAGGACGGAGAGAAGTTTCACGGAACAAATGACTCCCTCTGGGGACCTGGTCGACATCCAGGAGCACGACGACGAGGACTAGCAGGGGCGGGGGGGGCAGAGACGGGAGGGAGGGGCCGAGTAGAGCCGGGGGCAGGGACAGGGCGGGAGAGCGATGCAGGAGCGACGTCCCACGGTGGACAGGCCAGGCGGTCCTGTTCTGGCGTCCTCAAGCTTTCCCCTGGACGTCGAGCCTCACTCCCGCCAGAGGCTGGGTTTTGCTGCGCCCTTGTGCTCGCGAGGGTGCAGGATTAGCAGCAGGAGCAGGGGGGGGACTGAGGACTAACGCAGCAGGGAGCGGAGGGGAGGACGACAATGAGGAGGGAAGCTGTTTCCAAGATTGTTTCGGCTTCGCTCGGACGCCGAATCTGCAGTTCCGCTGTAAAAAATCCGGCATTGGCACCGAAGCTGGGCGCGAGGCTACTCCCGCCAGAGGCTGGGCTCGGCACCGCAGGCGCCGAGGGCAAGTGCTCACCGCCGCCCGCGTTTCCCCGGGTTCGAGGGCAAGCCGTACTTACCCTCCTCCTGGTGGCGCGACGCCTTCGCGTTGCGCCTGAGGACTCCCGCCGCGGACTGCGAGGTCGAATGCTTGCGCTTCTGGATCCACACAGGCAGGCTCAGGTAAGCGCGGTAGATGTCGTAGCATGAGCACAAGTGTTTCCCGAACCAGAAGAGTTCGGCCAGCGTGATGAATTGGCCACTGCGGATCTGCCAGTTCCCGAAGGCTGGGTCGCTCCTCATCAAGCCAGTCTCGCCGCCGTCCTTCATCATGATCCAGTCCAGGTCTTGGATGGTCAAGTTTCCTTTGTGGGTGGATAGCCACGAGTACGTGTCCCAGCCGCGCGAAAATTGGTAGTGCCAGTAGCAAGGTTGAAGGATGCTCCCGCCAGAGGCTGGGAATGGCTCCCACCCCGCCCGCACAAGCCTGGCCTCGCCATCGTGCAGTGCCAGAATGTGCTTCACGTAGTCGCGCGTATCGCGCAGGCGAAAGTCCTCAGTCGTGGCGACGGATTCTCTCCAACGGTGCCGCCCCCTGTCCCTCCCCCTCCTCGCCCTCCCCCCTTCCCTCCCCTTCCCCCATCCTCGTCCTCTCCCTCCTCCTTCGCCGACTCCCTACCGCGTGGAGGGAACTGGGGGATGGGTGGAGAGGACGTGGCTGGGGGTCGACTGGGCTTCGGCATCGTTGGAGACAACCCCCGCCATTCCTGCTTGAGCTGCTCCCAGGCGTCGCGCTGGAGCACCCACCACCCGCCAGAGGCTGGGGGACAAGTCCGGCCACTCCTCGACGAAGGTGAGCCATTCATCCTCGTCCATCTTGTTTGTCAGCAAACGCATGTAGTGCATCTTCCTGCTGGCGATGGCCTTGACGACATCCTCGTTGGCGCCGAAGCGCATGGTGTTCTTGGAAGGGATTCCAGCGATGAACTCCGGAGCGTCCGGGATCGGGTCCGCGTACTCCAGCAACTCACCGAGGAGAAGCGCCCGACGCTCGTCGCGAGCTCTCGCCAGTTGCGGAGCCTCTCGAGGCATGCGCTCACGCAGGCTGACCCTTCCCTGCCAGTACTCGCCGAAGTGCACCTGCCGCTCACTGGTGCGCACGATCTGGCGCAGCCGCTCCTTCTGGTCCTCCGACAGGCGCTCCAGTTTCTTGGCGGACACGTGCACGGTGAGGTCGACCTCGCCGTCCGCCCCGCCAGAGGCTGGGTCGCGTGCGTTGAGGCCCCTCGGGACCTCGAGCGGCGACGCACCCTGTGCTGCGGTTCAGCCGGGGGGGCCTGCTCCGGCGCGGGCTCGGCGTTGACGTCCTGCTCCTCCCCTCCAGACGCAGCTGCTCAGTACTTCTGGTCCTCCGACAGGCGTCCTCGCAGGCGGTTCTTGGCGGACACGTGCACGGTGAGGTCGACCTCGCCGTCCGCCCCGCCAGAGGCTGGGTCGCGTGTACGTTGAGGCCCCGGTCGGGACCTCGAGCGGCGACGCACCCTGTGCTGCGGTTCAGCCGGGGGGGCCTGCTCCGGCGCGGGCTCGGCGTTGACGTCCTGCTCCTCCCCTCCAGACGACAAGCTGTCATCCTTATCTTCGGTATAATCGATACCCTGCACTTCAGCCGTTCCCTCCGCCCCCACCTGGTCGTCCGCGAGGTTGTCCTGGCGCTCGGCGCCACCGCTCGGCGCAGGCAGCAACGCGGAGGCCGCTCCGGTCGCGTCGGCGGGCGCCCCGAGCGCCGCCGCGGGCGCCCCCGCCAAAGGCACCTGCAGGGGCGTCGCCGCCAGAGGCTGAGGCGGTGGAGCAGAGGCTGACGTGCGCGCCGGCGCGGGCTCGGTGGCGCCGCCGCGGGGGCGGCAACAGACGTGCCGCCGGAGCTGCCTGCGGCGCCAACGCGGCCGGCGGAAGCTGCGTCGCCAGCGCAGAGGCTGGGGCAACGCGCGCGGAGGAAGCGCTCGGCGGCAACATGGCCGGGCGGGCGGCGACATGGCAGGGCCCCGTGGGAGCGGAAAAGCCGGGCGGCCAGATCCGGCCGGCTTCGGCGACAACCCAAAATATCGCCTCCGCCTGGACGAGGTTCTCCTCCGTTGCGGAACCCCCCGCAAGGAGCCACCACATCGCCGCGAGCGGATCTTTGATCGTGTTGGTGCTCCACCCACAAGTGAACTTCGCGCCAGAGGCTGTGAGCGTCACTGCCAAATCCCAGGGGGACTGGTGGTACTTGGACGCCCGGCCATCTTCGTCTAAGCGCCGAGGGTGCAGGGACTTGTCCACCTTGTGCTGCGTGACGGTGGATACGAGCGGGTGGCTCTCCAAGAGGGCCGCGATCCGATGGATGTTTGTGTAGTGCTCCATCAAAACGCCATCCTTGACTCTGGTCTCCAAGCCCGCCTGGGATTCTGCTCCCTTCGGAGGGGGTGTCCCGCCAGAGGCTGGGGCCCTCACGAGGAAAGGAACGAGCAGCCACGCTTGAACACCGCCTGCCGGCTGCTTCACAGTGTAGTAGTGCCACGGACGTTGTGCGCTCTTCTTCGGTTTCTCACTTGTATACCCAGACACAATGGGCTCGGTGGCTCGGAGAGGATGGTCGTGGCGCCAATCCCGCAAATATGGCGCCAGCCAATGGGGCTCACTGAGAGGATCCGCGGACATCCCGCGCGCTGCTCGGGCGCTGGGCGCAGGCGCCGGGACTTCGTGAACAGCGGTTGCAGCACGACGAGCGGCTTGAGCCGAGAGGGCCTTGGAGAGCAGCTGCCACCTGCCCCTCCTTCCTCCACCCTTCCTCTTCAAGATCGGTCCCCGGAGCCCTCCCGAGTCCCAACGCATTGATTTTCCAAGGTGCGCCCATCCGTGGCGACGAGGCCCCCCCGAGGGCCCACTACCGGTGTCTCCAACGGACATCCTGAGAGTATCCTGGTCGTACTCCTCCTCCTCCTCCTCCTCCTCCTCCTCCTCCTCCTCCTCCTCCTCCTCCTCCTCCTCCTCCTCCTCCCCCCCTTGCCGGCGACCTGCGGGCCCGGCTCCCCCTCCTCCTCCCCCCCCTCCTCCTCCTCCTCCTCCTCCTCCTCCTCCTCCTCCTCCTCCTCCTCCTTTCCGTCCCCCCCCCTTCCCCCGCCCCCCCGCGTGCCAGGCGCGTGCACGCTTACATGGCTGAGATTGTGGGCCCAAACAACCACGCGACTACCATCGGGGTGAGCGACCGAATGGAGCTACAGCAGGCCATCGCATAGCATAGCATCGCGTGGCATAGCACAGCAGAGCACAGCAAATGTCGTTCCGTGTACAACAGCCACGCACGATCACCACGTGGCTCCTACCGAGGTTTTTGGGCGGAACACCACATCTGCAGCATCGCATCCCGTCGCATGGCGTCGCAGACCATAGCCTAGAAGGCGTCAAATAGGAGAGCAGCGCATGGCGTGGCACAGCATAGCGCAGCAACGCATGGCATAGCACGGCGGTATGGCATAGCATGTGATACAATAGCAAACCAGCAATGCTTTTCCGGTGCAAGACCACCTCAAAGGTATCCCACACCCCGCCTAGAAGAGCACCAGAACACCCATCAAATCGCTAAGACCACCAAAAAGCAAACCAGAACGAGCCCACAAGTAAACAAGACCTTCCAGTAAAGCGAGCCAGGCCTCCCACAAGTAGAGCAGAGCCCGCCCAAGAGTAAAGCAGACCGCCCACAAAGTAGACTGGACCCCGCCCAAAGTTGACGAGACATCGAGGCAAAGCAGAACAGACCACACCAGGAGTACGGCAGACCCCGTCCGACAGAAGAGCAAACCCTGCCCGAGTAAACCAGAACACCCAGAAGTAGATCAGACCCCGCCCAGAAGTATACCAGACCGCCAAAGTGTTGACCCGACCCAGCCCAGAAGGACAGCAAACCTCCTGCAAAAACAAGCCAGGCAACCCAAAAGCAGACCAGACCCCGCCTCATAGTAGACCAGACCACGCCCAACAGTAAACCAGACGACGCCAACAGTAGAGCAGCCCACCCATCGAAGCACCCCAGACCCTGCCCCACAGTAAGCCAGACCTCCCGGTAGGGCAAGCCACACCACCGAAAAGTAGAGCAGAGCCCGCCCGCAAGTAAGCCAGACCACCCACAAGTAAAGCAGACCCCGCCCAAAAGTAAGCCAAACCAGAAGGAGGAGTAGACCCCGCCTAAAAGTAGACGAGACCACCCACAAGTGTATCAGACCCCGCCGAGCAGAACACCAGACCTCCCATCCAAACGCTCACACAGCCGGAAATGAAAGGAAAGCCTACTCAAAAGTACACCAGAACTCCAAGAGCAAGGCAAGCCACCCAAAAGTAGAGCACTATCCGCTCGAAAGTAAACCAGATCACCCAAAAGTACACCCGACGTCGCCCAAAAGACGCCCAGACCCCGCACCAAAGTGAACCACACAGCCCACAGGTACACAAGAGCCCGTCCAAAAGAAGAGCAGACACCGGCCGAACGTATACCAAGGCGCCCAAAGGAGACCTGATCCCGCCGAAAAGGACACCAGGCTCCCGAGCAAAGCAGGCTAAGGCGGCCAAGAAAGCAGACCAGACCTGCCCCAAAAGTCACCCGCACCTGAAAGGCCACCGAGCCATGCCGCCCAAAAGAAGAGCAGGCCCCACCCACAAGTAAGCCAAAAAAAGATAAAAAAAAAAAAAAAAAAAAAAAAACAAAAAAAAAAAAAGAAAACAAACAAAAAAACAAACAAAGCCAAAACAAAAAAAAAATAAAGAAAAAACTAAAAAAAAAAGAAAAAAAAAAAAAAAAAAAAAAAAAGAAAAATCAAAAAAAAAAAAAAAAAACACAAAAAAGCCCCAACCAAAAATTAGTAGACCAGACCCCTTCCAAAAGGGTAGCGGGCCCCGCCCACAAATAAAGCAGAGAACCGAAAAGTAAACCAGACCCCGTTCAAAATGACACCAGACCGTCCGAACATGTAGACCAGACCCCGCTCATAAGTGGGACGGTGACAAGGATCAGGCACAACGTGGAGGAGGAGGAGCAGCAGCAGCAACAGAAGCAGCAGCAGGCGTCGCAACAGGCAGGCGGGAGGAGGATGCGAAGGAACAAAGGTGGGCGGATGATGGTGGTCGAAGAAACACATGATGATGAAGGGTGAATAATGGTGGGGATGATGATGATGATCATCATGATGATCATGATGACGATGATGATGATATTGATGAGAATGATGATGGTGATGATGATGGAGAGGCGCATGAAGACCCGAGGGAAGAAGGCGGGGCCGGTTCTGGAACCGAGGGAAGAAAACGGGGCCGGTTCTGGAACCGAGGGAAGAAAACGGGGCCGGTTCTGGCACCGAGGGAAGAAAACCTGGCCGCGTCTGGAACCGAGGGAAGAAAACGGGGCCGCTTCTGGAACCGAGGGAAGAAAACGGGGCCGGTTCTGGAACCAAGGGAAGAAAACCGGGCCAGTTCTGGAACCGAGGGAAGAAAACCGGCCCGGGTCTGCAACCGAGGGAAGAAAACCG